ATGAAGTTTTTCTTTTCGCTCTGTCGTAAGTATATATATACGTCATCGCGAATGACTGAACGAAAGAAGAATCGAAAGAAAGAACAAAAAAGTTCTTCTTGCAGGAACTTTTTCTTGGGACTACACTATACCCCGCTCTCATATTCTAGAGTAATACTCAGTTTTTTGCACTCTTTGCAACGATAGTAATCTTACGTGTTAGACTTTTAAAAATTTTTTTTCGATCGTTTGATATGCATTGCTTTGTCAACAAGGATGATCAACTGATTCCATCCATATTAATAATCGGTAGCTCCCTTAAGTCACGTACGAACACCAAATTTATTCTCGCTAAAACTCATAACCTGCTTTTTAACACGTAGAAGCGTTATCTCTTGGAAATATACGAAATCGACTTAAAAGTATCAAGATATATCTACACTAACACTCCCAAAGACTGTATTAACACATCAACTGCAATCGACTTTTATTCACTAACACACACAACATCATGCAATTTACTTACTGGAATATCCCATGAAAAAAAAATTTGCAAAAAACTGCGTTAAAACATATTTTTATTATCAACTCGCATGTTTTCACTAAAAGTGTAATTTTTCTTTAGAAAAAGTCTTTTTTTATTCGTTTAACCATATTTTCATCGTTTTATTGTACATCTCTTAGTAATTTCTTTGCTTAAAGTTCTAAAGATTTCAGGAAAGATATATCTTAATTGTAAATTGTCTTTAGAATGAACACAAACCTATGCATGTTAAAGTGTATGATACCCCGAATGGATTGGTTATAAAAATATTCGAGTTTTTATTAAAAGCAAAGTAATTAATATTTCCTCGGCTGCTTATGCAAGAATTTCCTCTTTGAATGAATTGAAAATATAATAAATGTAATACTTAAACTATAGATTATTAGAGATTCTCTTAGAAATTTAAAAAAAAATACCATACGATTAATCGTTATATGAAAGAAAAAATTTAAAAGAGTTCTTACATTGATATCATGTTATCTATAATGTTTCCAACCTGCTCAATAGTTTTTTGTTTTTTAATCAAGATAAACTTGTTTTATTCATTTCTGCTTGTCATGTTTGTTATACAATTATTTCTTTCCTAATATTCCAATAAATTCTGTTATGTTGTAGCCATATGTTTATCTCGAGAACAGCCCTATTTAAGCGACATACGTTTGGAGTGTGATATTACGAAATGTTTGTTTCTATATGGGCAGACTTTTATTTTACAAAGAAAAAGATCGTTTTACTCAAAATACAAATTCAAATATTCATTTTAACCTATTTGTGAAATAACTGATAACAGTCTTTATATATTCGCTGGCAATCAGAAATAGATGTAACTTCAGTTGTTTGTTTTTTTGGTATAAAATTTAAGAAATTGAGCTTTCATAGATAAACAATTTTTTAGTTTGCTTTATTTTGTCTCCTCTACATTGACTAATGTCCTGCAATCTGGTTCGAATGTAAACTCGTCGGATATGGTCTCATGCCCCGGACCTGACCCAATAATTACTGAGATCTCGACATGTCAAATTTTTTTTTGTTTTTCAAACTACTATTTATATAAAAACATGAGAGTGAAAATCGGTTCGATTATAATTGAGCAGTTTATTGTACTTAAACAATATAACTTTTCAAGCGTTCGTGAATGCTTTCATTCATTCTTTGATAGTGTTTAGTAGACATATCTTTTTGCTTTTGAATCGTTTTCATATATTTCCAAAAAAAAAAAAAACAATAAATTTTGTGAAGAAAAGTGACTTAGAAATAACGCTTCTACATGTCAGAAAGTAGGTTATGAGTGTTAGTGAAAATGTTTTTGTTGCGCTTGAGAAATATGGATGTTATGATATGATGTTCTGTAACTCTGCTCAACATATTTGCAGATATGACTTTCAATGAGAAATTGTCATCATTCAAAGTAAAGATGATATTCTATCTTTAAAAAAATATCAATTAAATTAATCTTTATTGTATAAAAACAATTTAGGAAATATTACATAACGAGCTAAATTTTAAAAAAATATAAATCTTTCAATTCTTATATGTAAGCATAATGTTTTCTATATGCTATGATTAAACAGAGCTGAAATATTATCTATAGAAGTTTTCGTAATGTTTAGAAGTTTATTCTTGAATAAACATACACACACATACACATTGTTGTTAAAGAACCAAACTGTTGTGCACTAATTCGAAAATAAAAAATACATATTTACATATCTAACAAATTTTTGAAGTAAATTATATATAAAAATTTTCAAAGGAAATAATCTCCTGAAAAAATTATAACAATCTTAGTTTTTCTCATGTAAAACAAAAAAACAGCGTAACTCAAAAAAATTTAAGTACATTTTTCTCGCATTACCATCATTGATTCAGGACATGTATTTGCTAAATCTGCACGAAATCGACAATTCCAAGGAAATCGATGTACACCTAATGGTCGTGCATAATACATTGATTCAACAGAAAATGTTTTTGCTATTTCAATTGAAGGTATTGATCCATTAACTCGATGTAAATTTTGTGCATACCAAACATCTTCTGGTATTCTAGAATCATATGAAATAAGTGCAAGTAAAGCAAGTATCTTACTACGACTTCGTAATGAAAATCCACCATTTCCTACACGATATTGTTTATTAAATGAAAAAAATGAAAGATCCCATGGGGCACCAATATAGTCATATTGAAGAAAATCAGTAATTTTATGTGGAGAATTTGAACACATAACTGAATCGATTTGAAAGAGAAGAACTTTTTCACCACGAACACGTTGCCAAAATTTAGGATCTGTAAATAATTGATTTGTTCGAGCACGATCATAAACTTGTTCCATAAAAGTAAGAAAAATTTTTCCTGATGCAATTAATGGTGCTAAAGTTGAATTTTTAATAAGATTTTCATTATACTTTCCATGAAATATTTGAATTGGCCATGTTGATGGAATATGATAATTAACATTATGAACAATAGCAATTATATGATCAACTGTACGAAATTCAACCAATATAGCAATACAAGGATAAAAATTATTTGCTGGATTTGTTATATTTTTTATGATTAATTTTCGATCTGATAAAGAAATATTTGATGTAATTATAATAAATATAATAAAAATAGTTAATAAAATAATAATTTTAATAGTTCTTTTATCTACTCGAAACTCGCATATATTTGGTAATTTTAAATGAGTTTTAGTTAGTGTCAATATTCTTTTCATATTCGTACCAGAAAATTTGTATTTGTTCATTCACTTTATTAGTATAGATTAATTGTCGCTTTTTGATCATTTTTCAATACATCGAATAAGTTTTAATAGAAATTTAATTGATGAATTTCAAAAAAAATTTATATAACAGCTTCATAATATCTACAATAAACTAATATACTTTATTTTTCACATATTCTCTTGTTTTTTGTGTTATTATTTCAGATTCATATATAATTTGTTTGCTTACCCTGTGTCATGTGCCATTCACATCTCATATTTCGTCATCAAAAAAAAAAAATCTATCATCTCTTTTTCTCATCCTTTACTATGGAAGCTTTTCAACTGTTACCACTCTTATTGTTCTCTTCTGTTTTTATTGATATTGTATGTTTTCAAGCTGACATAATCACCATGAATGATTGATTGATATATTTTATTTTGAAATTTGTCAGTATTTCTATGAAGATTTTTTGATTCAATGTTGTTCTAATTATTTGTCAATCGATGACGTAGGTATTAAAACTAAGACTAAATTAATGAGAGAAAAAACGTTTATTCGATCTCTAGAATATATTATTGATACATCATTGTAAGAAATTTGATAATAATGAAAACAATTAGAAGAGAGAAGTATAGCATGACTAGAAACATAATGTAACATATTAATAATCATGAATAATATTGAATTCATCTACAATTTAATCTCAAATGAATGGCTTGCACTACAAAACTAGAATATAATTGTGAATATTAGAACGACACGACATATTTAGTATTATTAGAAATGACAAAAATGTCATAATATAGACTTACTAGCAATCGTGGATAGAATTTCATAGGCAGAAGTAATTGAACGATATAGAATATTGGAAAATGAAGTATTAGTCTATCTATCTATTTCAAAAAGAAAATCAACAAGTGTTATAGTTTTGTGACTTGTTCAAAATAGATGTAGAGTTACAATAACGTTTACTACATGGCACTAAATCTATTTTATTTTGGTTGGATTTAAAATTTGATTCTCAGTTTTTTTTCGTTCATAACAAATAAGAATGGATAAATTTCAGAAAAATGAATTTTTCCTTTATCTATCTGCAAGAAACATTTCTTTTAATACTCTGATAAGGCTTTCTTTTACAATTGAAAAGTTATATTAATATGAAAAGAAACCAACATATGAAAGTATTTCAATTGGTACTTTATTGTCTCAGCTGACGAAATATTCTTACATGGTAATTTTCATTTATAGGTATTTTTAGAATCAATACTGTTCAAAGGTTTGTTTTCGTAAATATATCGTTCGAGTTGATCACTATTAATTGGTGACTGTTGGCTAGAGCTCGTCGGGTTGATCCTGGATCCGTTCGGCTCTGAAAATTTTGAACCTGATGGACCCTACTGTTGATGGAAATTTATTACATATGGCATGTTAAATACTCATCAGTTGACTGTAGAATTTAGATAATAAATATATATAACTAATGAGTCAGATCTAATAAGAGATTAGATTGATACTTTTGACATACTGATAATTTAAACTCTATTTTGATATAATTTTAAAGTATTGAAAATGAATTAATAGAATGGAAAACATTCAATAAAAATCTCGTGCATATTGTAGTGGTGTTTTTACCCGGTAGTTGCACAATAATACATATTGTTTTTCTTATTTGTAGTCTAATTATAAAAACTCAAGTAATGGAATAAGTAATATTGAAATGAAAGGAAAACAAAACAAACTTCGTCATATTAAACCAAATCAGATAAAATTTCCATTATTGACAAAATTTATTCTATAACGATTATAACTTCACTTAGAATCGTAGGAAGTTTTTTCAAAGAGAACACAAAGTATTACCAAAAGAGAATATATTAATTCAGAAAATGCCCAAAAAATTTTGATTCCATGAATAATTCTTCTATTAAATATACATTCCTAGATCCTTGAATAGTTTTAAAAAAAGTAAGGTTAGAAATTCTATGATACCTAATTAAACATTATAAAGCCTTATAAAGATAATGATCATTTTTATAATCAATCTGACAATCGATTGAATAATCTTGAAAGTATTCATAAAAATCCCTAAGAGAAACGTCACAAATTCTTTATGTTGACATCTCTTGTGTTGATTTTATATGTACTTATCATTAGATCAATGACTCCATATGAATTCTAAATATTCTCTCTTTGATTCCATTTCAACAATGGTAATACAGTAGTCTTGTAAATAATTGTAGTTTAATATCTATTATCCATTTTACAATATAAGGTGCTCTACTGTTTTTTGAATAAATTTTGATAGGAACATCATAGAGATCTGTGGTTTCCATTATCAATGAGAGAAGACACTGAGTTATGGACGTATATAGAAATTTGATTGATCACCAATTGATCAATTACGTAAGTTCTCGATGGAGATTTTCAAAAACGATATTCTGAAGTTATTTTCCTTTCAATTTAGACTTTTAATAGGACTAATCGGTAGAAAAGCTTCTTCTATTTTGATCTAAACAACACCGACATTTCTAGTTTGTTTCATTCGAGAGAGTTATAAGACTTTTCCTGAGACCATCAGCTTCAGTCAATTGATCTGTAACCATCCAGAAAAGCAGCTAGGCAAGGGTAGTGCCCCATGCTGAATCGAATTGTGATATTTATTTTTAGGCTCAAAATAATTTGATACTGTTATTCCAAT